TTTGTCAGGACCTTTTTGTTGAAGATACTGTTTTTCCTCCAGTATATGTTCTTGGGACCTTTGTCAAATATCTTCTGGTTCAAATTGCAAGGACTCGTGTTTGGGTCTTCTGTTATATTCCATTGATCTATGTGTCTGTTTTTGTGCCAATACCATGACAATATCTGTGTAATATAGTTTGAGATCTGGTATGGCACCCCCCCCACCCCCGCATTGCTTTTTGTGCTCAGGATTACTTTGACTATCCAGGATCCTTTATGATTCCAGACAAATTTTAGGATTTTTTTTTTCTATTTCTGTTAAGAATGTCTTGGGGATTTTGATTGAGAGTGCACTGAATCTAAAATTGCTTTTGGTAGGATGGCTATTTTTACAATATTGATTCTACCAATCCATGAGCATGGGAGATCTTTTTATTTCCTTGTGTCTTCCTCTTCCTTTATCTCTTTCATCAAAGATTTAACGTTTTCATTATAGAGCTCTTTGCTGTTTTTGGTTAGGTTTCTTCCTAGGTATTTCATTTTTTTTGAAGCTATTGTGAATAAGTGTTTCCATGAATTCTTTCTCTGATTGCTTGTTATTGGTAATATAGGAAAGTTACTGATTTTTGTAAATTGCTTTTTTTATCCTGTCACTTTGCTGAAATTGCTAATCTTTTCTAGAACCTTTCTAGTGGAATTTTTGGGATCTCTTATGTATAATATCATATCATCTGCAAATAGGGATAATTTAATCTCTTCTTTTACAATTAGTACTCCTTTAATCGCCTTTTCTTGTCTTATTGCTCTAGCTAGAGATTTAAGTCCTATATTGAAAAGAAGAGGGGACAGTGGCCAACTTGTCAGATTCCAGAATTTAAGGGAAATGCTTCAAGTTTTTCTCTATTTAGAATGTTGTTGGTTGTAGGTTCATTGTATATATCTTTAATTATTGAGATATTGAGGTATGTTCCCACCAGTCCAATTCCCTCTAGGACTTTTTTCATGAGTGCATGCTGGATTTTGTCAAAGACCTTTGCTGTGTCTATTGAGATCAAAATGCGATTTTTGTCTTTAAGCCCATTTATATGATTTATTATGTTTATTGACATGTATACTGAATTATCCCTCGAATAAAGTCAATTTGTTTATGATGGATGATTTTTTTTAAGTATTTATTTTTATGTGTACGGATATGTACACATGTGCATGTAATGCCCATAGAGGTCAGAGAAGGGTGATGGATCCTTTGGAACTGGAGTTACAGATAGAAGTTAGCCACCATGGGGGTGCTGGGGTTTAAAGAACCCAGGTCTTTGGCAAGAGCAGCTGATGCTCTTTACTGCTGAGTCACCTCTTCAGCCCCATGGATGATCTTTGGGATATGTTTCTGTATATGGTTTGCAGCTATTTAATTGAGAGTTTTTCCATCTGTGCTCATTAGGAATATGGGCCTATGCCTTTCTTTTTTGTTGTTATGTCTCTACCTGGCTTTGATATTAGAGGAATACTGGCTTCATTGAGGAGTTTGGGAGTTCTCCCTCTGTCTCTATCTTTTTGAATAATTTAGGTAGTATTGGCTGTAGATCATCTTTGAAGGTCCAGTAAAATTCTGCTATGAATCCATTTAGGTTTGTGTTGATTATTTTTTAGTCAGAAGGCTTTATATTACTGTTTCTATTTTCTCATTTGTTATGGGTCTGTTTAAATTTTTGATCTCTCCTTGATTTAATTTTGGTGGTCCCATTGAGTTTAGAAGCTTGTCCATTTTGTTTAGATTTTCTAATTTAAAAGAGTATAGGTTTTTAAAGTATTCTTTTATAATGTCCTGGGTATTTTTGGTGTCTGATGTGATGTTTTCCATTTCATCTCTGATTCTGTTGATTTGAATTTGCTCTTTCTTTTGGTTATCTGGGCTAAAGGCTTACCTAGCTTTGTCTTTTCAAAAATTTTATATTCGTTTATTCTTGGCAGCATTTTATTTGTTTCTATTTCATTTATTTATGTTCTGTCATTAATTTTTTTTCATCTGCTCGATTTGGGTTGGGTTTATTCTTGCTTTTCCAGATTCTTGAGATGTATCATTAATTCATTTATTTGTGCTACTATTGTTTATTTTTTTAAAGTACATTCTTAGGGCATAAATGTCCCTCTTAAGATTGCCGTTAATGTGTCCCAGAACTTTTATTGTGTTGTATTATCATTTTCACTTAGTTCTAAGAATATCTTTCTTTCTTGATTTCTTCTTTGACCCATTTATCATTCAGGAGTGTAGTTTTTTTTTTTTTTTTAATCTCCAGGAGTTTGTACAGTTCCTAGAGCTTCTTTTGCTGTTGGTTTTAATATTTATTGTATTGTGGGCTGATAGAATATATAGAATTATTTCAATTTTTTTTGTATTTGTTGAGGTTTGTTTGTGCCTACTATGTGCTCAATTTTAGAGAAACATCTATGGGCTGCCAAATAGAATATGTATTCTATGGTACTTGAGTAGAATATTCTGTAGTGTCTATTAAGTCCATTTGGTGTATAATATCCTTTAATTCAGGTGCTTCTGTATTTATTCTATGTCCATTTTTCCTGTCTATTGGAGAGTAGGACATTGAAATTCCCTACTATTACTGAGTTTGTGTTAATCTGTTTATTGACATTCAGTAGTACTGTTTATATGAAATGTGCACCAGAGTTTGGTGCCTATATGTTCACGATTCTAATGTATTTGTGGTCATTTGTTCCCTTGATCAGAATGAAGTGCCTTATTTCTTCTGATTGATTTTAATTTAAAGTCTATTTTTTCAGATATTAAAATTGCAATGCCCACTTCTTTCTTAGTGTAATTGGTTTGGAATACTATTTCCACCCTTTAACCCTGAGGTGGTACCTATACGTGAAGCTGAGTTTCTTGTAGACAACAAAAAGATGGATTTTTTTCTTAATCCATTCTACTATTTTGTGTGTTTTTTTCCCAGGGAATTTGGCCATTGATATTTAAAGTTTTTTATTGAAAGATGTGTATTGTTACTGTCATTTTCTGTCTGTGTTCTTATCCAATTTTGGGTTTCCATAATTATACCTTCATTAATTTTCTTTCTGGAGCCTCCTGGATATGGTCCTTCCTTTCTTCAGTTCTTTGCATTCTTTTGAGTATTCTCTGTAGGGCTGGTTCAGGTGACATGAATGAATTCTTTCTGCCTATTTGAATCACAGAAGATTTTTCTTTCCCTTTCTACTATGATAGAGAGTTTTGCTGGATAAAGTGTTCTTGGTTTGAAATTTACGCTCATTTTAAATTTGAAAAACTTTGTTCTTAGCTTTTTCAGCTTTCATACTTTGTGTTGAAATTCAGTTGTAATTCTGATGGGTTTTCTTGTAAATGAAGCTTGTTTTTCCTCTTGTAGCTTTCAGTGCCTTCTTTTTGATCTGTACATTTACTGTTTTTACCATGAGATGTGGGGTTTCTGTTGTGGTTCTGCCTGTTCGGTGTTCTGTGTGCTTCTTACATCTACACAGGTATGTCTTTCCTTTATTTAAGGAAGTTTTCTTCTATAATCCTTTGAACACCATTGACCTGAGATTCTTCTCCTTCCTCTAGTCCTATTGTGCATGGATTTGGTCTTTTCTTGGTGTCCCACAATTCCTGCACATTATATTCCTGTGTTTGTCATGTCTATTGGAGAGAGTGTGGTATTGAAATACTGTACTATTACTGAGTTGGTGTTGATCTGTTTACTGAAGTCTAGTAGTACTTTGTATATGAAATTAGGTGCACCAGAGTTTGGTGCTTGTATATTCATGATTCTAATGTATTCTTTGCTTGAGTGTTCCAATTCTACAACTGTGTCTCCAAGTCTTTATACTCTGTTTTCCATTTAATTCTTTCTGCTGGAGAGATTTTTCCCTATTATTTCAAATTGGTTTACCGAGTTTTCCAATTCCATTGTCATTTTAGGTTGTATTTTCTTCAGTATTTCTATCTCTTTTGTGAATTCACTTCTCAAGTCTGACATTCAGTTGTGCGTATTTTCATGAGCTTTAGTTAGGAGTTTGCTCCTATCTTCTTTGAATTCTTTGAGTTGTTTATGTGTTATTGAAAGTCATCAATTTGTTTGGTCTTGTTTATGATTGTTCTTTTAAATTCTGTGTCCTGGGGTTCCTGTTTAGTTCTCATCTGTTATTGTGTATGTATCTAAGCATCAGTAATGTTCTCTTCCTTGCAGACCCTTTTTAATCTATATTCCTTGATTTGATTAACAAATCTCCCTCCCCTTCCCCCTTCCTCCTCCTCCTCCCCTCCTCCTCCTCGTCAGTCTTCCTCCTTCTGCCTCCCTCCCTCATTCCCTCTAATTTAGCTCAAGCACATTATATCTGAACTCCCCCACACAAATATCTATTGTACTTTAGGTTAGGGTCATCGTTAACTCAGTTTTTTAATGGAATTCAGTTCACTGTAGCAAAAATTAATTCTGAAAATTGATGTTAGTAGGTCTATTTCAAGCCCCAGTATATGAAACCAAAGTCAAAACAGACTCCAGATAAACATTTTAAAGATTGCAAGAAATGGTATACATTGGGGACCATTCTCATTCTTTACTGTTAAGTGACCGGCATTTGCCAGCTCCTCAATAGGTCAATCATGATTTCTGGAACTTTTTTGCTCTTTCCTCTAGATACAAATGACTTCTGATGACTTTTCTCTGGAAATGTTGGCGCTCCCTACACATCTAGAAATTGGGGAAAGAAGAAACATGTAAGAAACAAGAAACAAGAGAAAGGCGATGCAGGGAGTACAAGGAGCGAGGAAGAAACAGGGTCAAAGTGAAGAGAAAACATACAAGCCCTTAGTTTCTGGTCTCTAGTCTATGCCAGTAGCTGCCCTGGAGCCCTGGTGTAACCAGGCAACACGGTGCCATAGTAACCGCAGACGCACGCTCCAGTGGGCCTTCAGGTGCCAGGCCGACTAAGGGGTGAAGGGTCCCGGGATCTCGCGAGAATTGCAGACGAGAAGGCGCCGCCTGTCCGCGGGCAACCTTGGGGATGGCGGGGATCGCCGGTTCGCGTGGGGTGCCCCCGATGCGGGTGCTGGAGGAGGCGCTGGGCAGTGACCCGATGCCCGGGGAAGACATGGAGGAGGCGTTAGCCACCGAGGGGGCTTACTACCTGGAGAGTATCCTTCTGGTGGAGCCTGCACGGGGCCTGTGGGCTCCCCGGCGGATCTCCCCTGCTGGTCCGGAGTGCTCCCCGCCCTCTCCTACCAACTGCCGAGGTCCCAGGTGGAGGTGTATCCGCTGCCCTTTGAAGAGGAGGGAGTCCTTCCAACTTGTAGGGCCTTGTACTCACTCAATACACTTAAGATTGAGGACTGCTAGTTAGGTTTAGGAACTGACTGAAGTCAACTTTGATTTAATGCTTCTAAATAAACCCCCTAACTGTCAGAATACCGTTCTGATACATCAGATATTAAGAGATGAAGTGAGATCTCTGTCACTGGGTTCTAAAGAATGGACGCTCAGGCTGCCCCACCTATGAACCTGCTGCTGGTTCAATCATCCAATGCTTAAATGATTGGTCTCAGCGGGGTTTTCTTCGTGAGTAGTTCCAGTTTTGGGTATTTAATGATAGCAAGAGATGCTGGGAAGACAGCAGTGATGAGCAGTTATAAATGGAGACTCCAGAAAAATTGAATAACGTTATGAGGATAATTAGGTTCACTAATTCTTCAAAGGCCTAGAGCTTCCCTCCTCTAGGTGGGCACATTAATCATTCTGTATTGATGAGCAATGTTTGGGAGTAAAAGCCATCTAACGTCTTTCTTCCAGCAGATAAAAGATAGATGGCTATTCCTAAAGATGTCAGACTCAAAATCTATTATTTATTTTTTTGTCCAGTTATAGCATCCCCTATCCCCACCTTAATTCAAGATACGGAGATCCAGCAATGATTGATTTTATGAGTTTTAGCAAGGCGATTAACTTCTTCTGACTCGGGTTAAAATACATTCATTTTGGAAGTCACATAGAATTCAGTAAAAAAGATACAAAAAATATGTAGTATTGTATTGGATACAAAATATTTTTTGCAGGAAAGCATGTCTGAATACCTTGAAGTTAATATATGAGTGCTTCAGTGTTATAAATGAGGCTTTGTGCTGTTTTCATAACTCTAGCAGACCATCTTGTAATATTCCTTCAAAATTAAAAAAAAACATTCAGGTTATTCTTTCTGAATTCATCTATATCAAGTATAGTTTTCCAGTACCCTTGCTAGTGAATAGCAACAAAACATTTTTATTTTTGTTTGCCACAAAATGATTTCTATAAGCATAGTTTAGTTATTATCCTGAGACAAATAATTTTGCAGATATCTTTGTAAAATAAACGATAGGTTGCTAAATAATGAAACCTTAAGCAAAAAATCAGATTTACTGAATTCCAGCAAGATCCCTGAATCAAAACTGCCAACCTGTCGTTATTTACACACCTGTCTTACAAATCCTTCTTTAAATCACAGTTACAAATGTAACAATTCAAATCCTAAGTTTTCAGGATTTTATTATCCAATATGTTAAATATCTAATTTTTCTTTTCTTTTTTAAATCTCTTTTTGGTTGACTGATTACTATTTCATGTTTCATCTGAGAATAGCCAGGGAATAGCAAAGTCAAACACTTAACCAGTCAGTTTTGCTATATTCAGTGTCTAGGACAGATGTTTAGTCATGGGAGAGGCTTTAACTCTTAGTTAAAATGAAGTTTGAGGATTACTTGTAAATGCCAATTATCCGTGTATCCCTGGGCTCTCCTACATGCATAATTAAGAACTGACACAATAATGTTATTTGACATTGTTTCCTAAGTCTATTATGATAGTTGCTGAAATTAGACTTTCTTGGGTTTAAAGTCTTTAGCTCTCAGGCTACTTCTTGGGTAAACAGAAATTATAATATGCATAAATGAATTGGAAATCCAGTGTCCTCTACATATATCTGAAATCATATCTAACCTACTGCATTTGGTCCTGGATTTCTGTTATGACTGATGTCATCCCCCTTAGTACATGAGATAAGGACTTACCAGTATTGAGAAGGCTTTGAAAGAGGTTCAGACTTGGATTCTCCAGGAATCACCCTCTTTTCCTAAAGATTCAGAACATTATAGGCTAATGTGGCCCAAGCCAGTCACATAACCAAGATTCATCATGGGGGAAAATGTTTTCATGAATACAAACCTCACTGTCTTAAAGAATGTATTCAGGAAAAAAGATTCCTAAGCCCTTGACACCCTTTCCTTGTAACTTGCTACTTGTAACCAGTTACACTTGTTTCTCTTGTGCTGGTCTTCACTATATATAATTGCTTTCATGTTTTACACTTGCACTAGGGGAGAGGGCACCATACATCACATGGTTCTTAGCCTACTTAGCTGTCACCGAAGCTTTAGAAATGCGGTTAGGGAACGCACGAATTCCTTGTAGGACTTCTTGTGAGGAAATATTTGCAACATCATAAAGTATTTGGGGTTAAGTAATTGTCTCCCGAACTTATAAAGAAAGGCTGGGTGGTGTTGTCAATGAATTATCTATAAATCACAATTTGTATGAAGTTTGAATTGTACTAGTGACTAGAGGCTGCCTTTTACTGTTGACTGTGGCTATTCTGAAGTGCCCAGTTTCAACTGTCAGCTGCTAGTTGAGATGAATTTGTATTAGGCCAGCTAAAGGTTAATTGATTTTGGTGTTATTTGTCAAAACCAAAACCTTGCTCAGGGAAGGAAAGTGGAACACACGCTAGGAGAGGGGAGCATTTTTACCTCCCTCCCTTCTCTTGGCTCTCTGCTTCCTAATTAGCTTTTGATTATTTCATCTCTCTGTACATTCTAATGCTGATGATTTGGCATCTTAGATATAAGTTCATGTGTTTAAACTTGCTGGGAGCTTAAAAGGTCTCTCTTGTCCCCAGCAGCAGTTTCTTATGGCTGACTGAAGTTAAGCCAGGCTTTTCATCCCTGGAAATAGTCCCAGTGACTGTAACTGTGAAATGAAGCTTCACATCCATTTTGAACAGGGTGCTGAAGGAGAATGATAACCCACCTAAGATGCTTCTTAGATGTCTGTCTTCTTTGAAAAAAATTATTTTATGTGTTTGACTATTTTGTCTGCACGTATGTAAGTGCACCACTTGCATGCCTGGTTCAGGTAGAGGCCAGAAGAGGGTGTTGGATCCCTTGGAAGTGGAATTAGGCAAGATTGTGAGATTCCACGGAAGTACTGGGAACCTGGGTCCTCTGTAAGAGCAGCTGGGGCTTTTAACCACTGAGCCACCTCTCCAGCCTTATCTGTCTTCTTAAGTGACCTGTCTAGGTAGGTTTCACTGCAGGAGTAATGTTTGCTGAACTGTCATGAAATCTGAGCTTTTGTCATTTTTCATCTTATTGTTTTTAATGTTTTTTTTTTTGGTAGAAAGAAATGTAATTGAGTAAGTAAAAAATTTAGCTGATTAACAGACTTGATAGGCTTTCTTCTTTCCTTCCTTCTGCCTTGCTCCCTTCTAAAAGGATTTTTAAAAAGTTCTTTTTTTTTAAATATTACTTTAGATAACCTCCATTTCTAAAGTTATAAAATGGTACTTTGAAATGTTATATCATGGTAAAAAGATAATTGTAAACTCCATAGTAATTATGATCTACTCAATATACTTCCCATTTATCGTAAAGTTTGTCCTTTGATATTAGAATATATATCCTATATTTATTCAGATAAAAAGGATTGGCAATCTGAATGCAGACCAAGACCCATGTTACTGACCTGAGTGTTGAATATTGCAGGTATTAATGTCATGGACTATTTAGAGAGAAAAACTGTTTTGTTCTGTGTCCTCGAGTTTAGGCTATCTTTAATGAATCATCTGTGTATCTTTTTCAAAGAAGACTTTAATTCAGTAAATCCAGGTACGGACTGAGATTCTTGCATTGCTAACAAGCTCCCAAGGTGCTGCTGGTCTAAGGACCATAATTGTAGTAGCAAGCCTGTGGAAAAATATCTTGACTTGTAGCCATGATATTTTCAGATATAGCTGGGCACACTGGTACATACCTGTAATCCCAGTCCTCCAGGGGCTGAATGAAGCAGGAAGTTTGGCAGCTCCAGGCTAGCCTACCGACATAGGGAGACTGTTTCCAAAAACAATCACAAAATTTCCAGGTAGAAGACTGATCTCTAGCGCCCCCAGCTTTGGAGCTCCTGGCTTACCAGTTGGAGAGACTCATAATACATCGAGAACTGAGTGAGTCCTACATGTTGAAAGAAAGTTCTTTCCCAGCTGCTGAACAGATGCGTTGCTGCCACCGAGAACAGGAGTGGCCAGTAGCTTCCCCTTCTTGCCAATTCTTTTGGATCAGTAGTGGCTTTGTGTATGTGGTGTTAATAGCTCTCAAGACTCATGAAGACTTGGTGGTAAATGCTGCAGGAAGTAAGCAGCAGTGGGGAAAGAGATAGCGATAGGCAGGCCAGCCAATTATTTGTCATCTCTATCCATACTTTTCAGTTAACTTTATTTAGAGTGAAATTCTAAGAGAGGGAAGAAGACTGTTAATGTTTGCTATTTATAGTACTTTTATAGTCTGGTAAATAATATGTGACTGACAGAAGGATCTAGGCTAGATTTTCTTTTTTAAATTGTGCCTGTGAACATTGACTTTGAAATGATGGCAAAGATTGCAAAGTGATTTCTGCCCATGGAACTTTGAGAAATAATGTTAAATATAATTAGGTGTGTTTCATTTTGGTTCTTTATAAAGATGTTGTCCTGGCTATGATCACTACCTAAAATGTGGCAACAAGAGGCTGGTATATGGAGAACTTTGTATACTTCTCATATCTGAAAATTATTCAATGGTTTCTGGCTGTGGCTCATTTGCTGAAGAACATTATGTGTGATCCCTTCATACCAGCTGTTACCTCTGCTCCATTAGTGTGGCTGAACTGTCCCTCTGAGGCATATGTGTCTTCTGTGGTACTGTGATGGGGTGAGGGCTCCACAGCAGTTTCGGTACAGGTATTACATTGGCCCGTTTTCTGGTTGGTTCTACAATACCAGGAACTAGGGCACAATCTGCTAGTTTGGAAACCTCCAATCTCCTCTACCCATGGTGACCAACTATCAGGGAATGTTTTATACTGTAAAAACTTACAATCCCTCCCAAATTTCTTCCAGAACAAGTGGAGATGTGGTAGAGTGGAAGCTGTAGTTAGTTGGTGACTAGGTTGTGATGCCAGGATACAGAATCTGACCTGGAAGTGGTGGGGAGGGTGTGTGTGTGTCTGCTGTGGGATATGGCTCTAGGGCAGACAGGAAAGAAAAACCATAGAAAAGATGAGTGAGAGAAGGCTAGAAAACTAGAGGTAAAAACTAGATCTGACAGCAACAGACGGAGGTAGAAAAAAAAAGAAGTTTGGAACTACATTCAACTCTTACTACATTCTTTGAAAGAATACTAGGCCGATAGTGGGAGGGGAATAGTTAAAGGACTGAGAGCCAGCTTGGCATTATGAAAATGATTTTCAGTCAGAACACTGATTTTTTTCAGTGGAAAAAAACTCTTGGTAACGGTTGTGAGCAGCCGAATTGTATAGGTGTTTCTTAGTGTATAGGCTCACCTAAGAGATTAAATTACAGATGAGAAAGTTACTCAGTTAAAGTAGCAGTAAGGTAGAGGGTTTTATCTTTCAGACAATTGTTGAGAATTGGCCGTTTCCACTCTGGCAAGATTGCTGTCTGAAGAAATACTTTCCAAACTTTTTCACACATGGAATTTCATCAGTTCCTTCTTCACTCTGTATTTTAGGCAGTCCCACGGGCCAGAGGGAATCAATATCTGTATAATACAGTGTTCTCTTTATGAGAACCCAAGAGTATACTTTCTCTGAGACTTTGGAGCCAGAAAATACTGTACATCTGCTGAGCAGTTTATCTGTTTTTACTGGGTGGATCCTGAATTGACGTCTAGTTACAATCCTTTACCCCGACTGCTGTGAAGGTTAGAGTCAAGTCTGTGGCTTCAGGCTTAAAAGTCTGTGAAACTGATGGACTGTGCTACACCTTTGTGAGTCTTATTTCTCTTCCCTTTTCTCCTCCAATTTCCACATTCACTTATTGTTATATTTCCTGTGACAAACACATTTGTAAACTGCTGAAGAGTCATTTAGTATTAGCTTGCACATTTGCCCGTGTGTTGCTAGCTAGTTAGATGACAGATGCACACAAATATAATGTCCTTGTACAACTGTCGTCTGGCTAGCTAGGAGCGCAAGATATCAAAGAATATATCTGCTCCTCTTTTGGGTGTTTTGTCCTGTATTTGATCTTTTTTCTTATTAATCTTTTGACCTTGGTTAAATTGATGTTTGGCTCTGCAACCTCTGGCTATTTTATATTTCTTTCTTTCTGTGCTCTTCTGAGCTATTTAAATGATTTTGTTTAGCTGCTAGTAACATGCCACTGGGGGTTTGAAGAACATATATGTGAGTCTATTTCCTAGGGTATTGCTAACAATTTTCTTCTTATTATTATCTAATATATCAATATATTCACATATTCCTATTATGTCAGTGTAGAAAAGGAATGATGTGACAGAAAATTATTTACATTTGGATTAAAAAAACTTGTCTCTGTCACTCATTACTTTGTGTGTGACCTTGATAAAATCTCTTAATTTCCTTGATTTCTTCAATTTCAATTTAGAGATGACTGTTTTCTGTGGGATTTGATCTCAAAGATTTTTTTTTTAAAGTGTACTAACAGTCTGTGTGAAATATTTTCATGCTTTATGGAATTATAATTATTTTTCTTAGAATCTTATCATTAATCATTAAAATTTATTGCCTGGAATATTTGCTGGATAGGAGTTACAAGTGTTGCTTGATATTTCCAATGCTTTGAGGGCAAATCTCTCTCTCCACATTGCTCTGTCAACAGCCTATGCTGTGGCATCTCTTTCTCATATAGTCAGGGCATGACTTATTTGTACCTTTGAAAGTCTGTGAAGAAGATTTTCTTTGCTTTGGAATTTGTTATGTATAAGTACAAAGGATGACCCTGTTTTTCTGGAGAGTTACAGAAGGACTGCTGTTCATATCACTTTGGAGTAGCTGTTCTTGGAAGGAGTCTATGTTTCTACAGAAATGAGGATAACTTCCTGTTACTGAACCTCTGGGAATTTTATTTAAGTAAAAAAAAATTCAGAAAAATACAAATATAGGACTGGATAGCAGTTTAGAATGGCTTTTATATATCTGTTATCTTTGCCCATAGGGAAAAAGAACAAGATGTGCTCATCTCTTTCTAGAGTGAGCAAAAGTATAATAAAAAATAGTCGTAGAGAGTTTTCTGTAATCCAGACATCATTTCAGAGCTGTGTTCTTCTGTTGTCTCTGCTTCAGTTCCTGTCTCCAGATTCCTGCTTGAGCTCCTGCCTTTGCTTCCCTGGATGATGGGCTGTGAGCTAGAAGTCAAATAAACTCTTTCCTTTCCTAAGTTGGTTTTGCTCATTGTTTATCACAGCAACAGAAATCAAACTAGAACAGAAAATGGCATTACCTCTTTTAAAGCTTTTGAAATCCTTTGAGGTATTTTGGTTGCTGGTACCTAAAAGATGTCTCTTAAGTGATGCGCAATATTTCCTACCTCCTAGTGTTCATGTTCTGTTTTTGAAGTGCTGAGGATTGAACTTGCACTGCGGGACATTTGGGGACACTAACAACTCAATAGGCATTAGTATGAATGTCAGAATGCATGAATTCCAGTAAGGGGCTCTGGGATTGTGCTGATGGGAAAGGGGATATAAAGATGATTAAGATGTGCTGTATGAAATACACAAAAATTCAATAAAAATATACAAAACATAGTTTTTCATGGATTTAAGGCTATAAAAATAGAACTACTAATTGAAAATAATTTATTGTATAATTTTATTGACTATACAGAAGAAAAATTTGAAATTTAAATTACATGTATTTACAGAACTCATAGTGAGGTAGCAGGATCAATACTATATTTGGGGTCAAATCGATTTTTACTATGATAATATTCCATATATTTTGAGTTTAAACTTGACAGCCATTCAGAGGTCACCATAACTGAAACATCTGAAGACGACTATGAATATGAAGAGGTAACTTGCTAAGTTTCATTGTTAATATGAATTGTTTCATTTTCTGAAATAATAAGAGGTTTTTTTTTCTTAAAGAAGCACTAGGGTTTGAATAGAAGTAGCTTTTAGTTGATTATGAATGCTGTTTAAATGTTGTACTGGGAAACACATCTGTCTGTCTTGGTTTCCCTGATCCTTATTCTTCAGATTCAGCTCCATATCACCTGCTTGGTCCATGCCTTCAGAGACTGCCATTCCTGTCCAGCATCTTCACACCATATAGTTTGCTCTTGACAGGGATTCCAAATCTCCAGTGCCAGTTGACGCCCTGGCCTTTTCTTTCTTTCTACCCCAAATTCAACTCATAAATGTGCTCTTATCCCAGAGCTCTCCTTTAATTCATTATTCTCACCAAGACCTATCATTACTTCTTAGAATGGATTATAAAGTCACTTCTAGATGTCCGAAACTGTGAGTGAAACTGTGTGGAAGCAAACCCGACAGTGTGTGGCCTGGACGAGGCAGGACAAGCACAGGAAGTAGGCATGTGGTAAAATAGACATCATATGAACTATATGGAATTACTAAGTCAATTAAAATAAAGGGTATAGTTACTGGCACATAGGATAAATGTTAACTGTCTTTAATGTAAATAGCACCTATTTATTGCATTTTTCCAAAATTTTAAGACTTTCTAAATTTTATTTTGTAATAAACTAAAGATATTCTATGGCCACTTATGAAAATGTCATGCTGAAAAAGCCCTGATCAGGGAGAAGTTGGTGGTGTTTACATGGCATAACTTTTTTAAAAACAGAATTGTTAAATAATTTTCCAACGTAGTTAAATTTAGTCTCCCTTTCCCTTCCCTCCCTTTCTCTCTCTCTCTCTCTTTCTTCCTGCCCATGTTTAAAATTCCTGTGATCCACATTTGGGTCCGACTGGATCTCCATAGCACCCGCCAGTCCTGACACGAGGCACAGGTCTATAGCCGTGCTCACACTCACTCACACAGAAGCATACACATAGGCATAAATAATTTTTTAAATTAAGAAATATGTTTTAAAATTAAGAAATACACACATACATCTCTATTTCTCATCTATCTCTCATCTATCTATCAATCTATCATCTATCTATCTCTCTGTCTCTCTATCTCTCTCTGTCTCTCTACTATCTATCTATCTATCTATCTATCTATCTATCTATCTATCTGTCTATCTATCTATCATCTATCTATCTATCATTATCATCTATCTATCTAATCTATCTATAGAGAGAGGGAGGGAGAGTCTCCCTGTAGCACCAACTGGTCTGGCGCTTGCTGTGTAGGCCAGGTTGACCTCAATCTCACAGAGATCCATCTGCCTCTGCCTCCTGAATGGAGTGCTGGGAATAAAGGAATGTACCAGCATGCCTGGGCAGAGTATATTTCTTTAATGCTTTAATTTGTGAAGAAAATATCTGAAGTTAAATATAGATGGGTCCTCTCATATCAGCATTAATTAAAAAGGATCCTTTTTATTTAGCTGTAGAATTGACTTCTTCAGTGCAAGAGACCATGTGAGACTTTGCTCAATATAATATCCTATTTTTTAAGCTAGCCATAGCCAATTATAGTCTGAAAATACTGACTTGAAAATTCCAGAAATCAAGAATCAGTTTTAAGAGACTTTATTCCAGTACACTGTTGTGATTTTTCTGTTACTATTATCATTACTAATCTCTTAGTGTGCCCTAAAAATTCAACCTCATCATATATATGAACAATGGTATATGGAAGGTTGGAAATGAACTACAGTTTCAGGCATCTGCTGAATGTCTGAGAATGTATTCCTTAGCTAAGTGGGAAGTGTTCTATGTTAAAATTTGCCTTACCTCCTTTCCTTGTCTTTGTCTTGATCTAGATCCCTGATGACAATTTCAGCATTCCAGAAGGTGAAGAAGATCTGGCAAAGGCAATGCATATAGTTCAAGAGCAAGACACAGATATTCAGATTTTGGTGAGAATTTTGAACACCATTGCAGCCTGTAGTGTAGCCGGAATATTTTTAATACTAAGTTTGGAAAGTAATTTAAACTTTGAATATATTATTTATGAATCAAAGTATTACCACTGAAAGTAAGCTTTTGTGTTTACTCTCTGCAAACTCTTTCTCCACACAATGGCCACACATATGACATCCTCCCTGAGAGCTCCGATTAATGTCATAAGAGATTAAACCAAAAAATTTCAGCACTCATATTCAGAATCTAGAATCAATTAAAGATTATACAGTAGGCTTTATAAGCACTTTGTAGTTTTGTTTTTCATGGGAATATTCAAGAATGCACTGAATGCTTAATATGTCATGATATTTTCCTGTGCAGGCCATGCACTAATTTTGTTAAGGATGGGATAAAAATACCTTTTATTATAATATCAATGAAAACAAATAAGACTATTGACATCTCTATGAAATTAAACAGAGAATTAAAAATTAACCATAATTTAATAAGTTTAGCAAAAACAGGTTTTATAAGCACTTCATAATTTCATACCAACATTCATTAAAAAAGATATTTTTTATTTAGTCGCAAGTTTGACTTCTTCAGTACAAGATGGTATTCTAAACTTTGCCCAGTATTGTACTGGATTTCAATCTCTCCATATTTAGTAGACTTCTTTTGTCTGGGAATCCATTAAGTCTTCCAGTCCTCTGTTCAACTTACAGTTGAAAAAAAGCTGAAAGTGAAGATTTCATGAAGCCAAATTTTATTAGATTATGTTATTAATGCAGGGCTCTAGCTCATAATAAAATGTATTTTGGTTTTTAAAATAGTTATTATTTTTATTTTATTTTATGTCTATGAGTGTATTGCCTGCATGTATATGTGCACCCGTGTCGTGCAATGCCTATGGAGGTCAGAAGAGGGCATCAGATCCCCTGAAACTGGAGTTATAGACATTTGTTAGCCACCATATGGGTCCTCTGCAAGAGCAGCAGGTGCTCTTAAATGCTGGGCCATTTCTCCAGCCCCAATAAAATATATTTTGTAACAAATCCTGTGGAAAGGTTCCTTCTAGGAAGTCAAAGTGGGGTTTATTATATAGACTTAACTAGTCTATCAGATATCTCAATGCAATGATGTATGAATAATTTTAAGACAACCTTTAGGGTGAAGTCAGAGTA